TTACACGTTGTTAATCTCAAAAGCCATATTGTCTTGTCCTGTCGCCTTCATCTCTTTAGCTTCAGGGTCCCTCGCCTTGGATCTGTTAAAAAAAAGGTGAATCATTTATGCAAAAGCTCATTAGTAAGATAAATACAGTTTCATATAAGATAATGTATAGTTTTGACATTCAGATTTTGTTTTTAGTTTAACAAATATATTAATTCATATCAATTGTTGTGGGCCTTAGTACTACAGTTGTATAAATGTGATTGTTTCTCGCAATTCACCAAAATTATTATTGTCCTCTCAGACCGTTGGTATTATTTTTTTTTTTTTTTACAAAACTATAAATTTTAGCAAGCATGCTGTGAGTTGCAAATCCTGTCTCACAACCGTAACAGGAATCATAGCCATTCCTCTCTCTCTCTCTCTCTCTCACACCACCCACCACCCACCCACACACACGCACAACACACCACACACCCACAACACGCACACACACCACACCCCACACCACGCACACACACACACACACACACCACGCACACACACACACACACGCACACACACACGGCCCCCTTCCCCCTCCCCCCCCTCGTACCTGGCGGCGCACGGGTTGTAGCACAGAGTCTGGCCGCTGAAGAAGTTCTCGCCGTCCTCGAGCGTGTCCGGCAGCTTCTCGTGCAGCGTCTCCGGCAGGAAGAGGCAGGCGATCCCGCCGAGGACCGTGATGGCGCCGAGAATCACGTAGGGCAAGAAGGAGCCGTACTTCGACTGGGGGAGGCGCAGAGGGTGACCGGGGTGAGTAAGTTTGTAAACGGATATTTTTCTGCGTAAATATTTTCTCTCTCCTCTTTCTCTCTCTCTCTCTCTCTCTCTTCTCTCTCTCTCTCTCCTCTCTCTCTCTCTCTCTTCTCTCTCTCTCTCTCTCTCTCTCTCATCTCTCTCTCTCTCTTCTCTCTCGTCCAATCCTCATCTCCCCCTCCTCTCTCTCTCTCTCTCTCTCTCTTCTCTCTCTTCCCTCTCTCTCGTCTCGTACCAGCGACCTATCAAGGCAGCGATCGCGTTTAGGCGTCCGCGACGTCTATCACATCTCGCAGAATACATCCGCTAACTCACCCTCATCTAAAATTTAGTGATCTACATCCCATTATGTATAGTATTACTCTACTAAATTCCAGATGTCTTTTCTCTAATTTTCGCCTTATTCACTAACATTTCTGATTGGTTAAGAAAAAGGGATTTTCTTTTATTCGATTTCATTTTTTAAGAGTTAAAAGACATCAATATTTTGGGTCCCTGAGTAACGGGAGGATGTCTCCTCTCTCTCTTTCATTCATCTCTCTCCCTTCTCGATCGCTCCTCGTCCCCTCTCTTCCCCTCCTCTCAATCCCTCCTCCTACTCTCCCCTCTCCTCCCTCTTCTCCATCTCTCTCTCCTCTCTCTCATCCCTCTCCTCTCTCTCCCCTTTCCCTCTTCTCTCTCTCTCTCTCTCTCTCTCTCTCTCTCTCTCTCTCTCTCTCTCTCCTCTCCTCTCCCTCTCTTCTCTCTCTCTCCCTCTCCTCTCTCTCTCTCTCTATCTAATCCCACTTCGAGAAACTAGAGCGAACCCTGAACAGCCGCGAGTTCAATGGCCTGACCAAGCAGAGCCCAGCAGTGCCCTCGAAAACCTTGGGCTAAAAGACGCCTTTTACCAGATAGACGATGTAGGGAGAGGCAAAGGCGGAGAGGAACCCCAGGGTCTGCATGGTGCCCATCCCCTGCCCGCGAGCCACCGTGGGCAGGATCTCCACCGGGTACTGATGCCCCACGTTCATGGTCATCGTGATGAGGAACCGGCCAGTGAAAGCCAGTCCCATAATGACTACGGTGTTGTCTATAAAGAAGAAGAAGAAGAAAAAGAAAAGAAGAGAAAAGAAAAACAGATCAATATATATAGATAATAAACATTTTATTCCTATATGAACATAAACTTAAATACACGAAAAAAAAAAAAAACAGATCAATATATAAACAGATAATAAATATTTCTATTCCTATATGAAACACAAATACACAGAGAAGACATAGGAAGAGACCATGATTCCTTCCAGCCAAGGGCAGGAGAGAGGGGAGATAAAGAGAAAAGAGAGAGAGAGAGAGAGAGAGGAGAAGAAGATAGAAGAGAGAGAGAGAGAAGAGAGAGAGAGAGAGGAGAGAGAGAGAGGAGAGAGAGAGAGAGAGACAGACAGAGACAGACAGACAGGAGAGAGGAGAGAGACAGAGAGAGAGAGACAGAGAGAGAGAGACAGACAGACAGACAGACAGAGCAGACAGACAGACAGACAGAAGGACAGAGACAGACAGACAGAGACAAACAGACAGACAGAGAGACAGAGCGAGATCCCACCTTCAGGGACGAGGGCGACGCTGAGGGCGACGAGGCCGCTGAGGACGAGCGACCCGACGGTGGTGTGTCGGCGCCCCAGCCACTCCGTCGTCACCATCGTGAGGACGTCGGCGGGAAACTCGACGGCGCCGGCGATGGTGAAGCTGAGGAAGGCGTCGTAGCCGATGTTCTCGCTGTTGCGCGTGTGGCCGTCGTAGGCCACGGTCATCACCATCCTGGGGGAGGCGGAGGGGCGAGGAGGAGGTGCTTGAGACCGTTCGTGTGACGCCGCGGTGGGGTGGGGTGGGGTGGGTGGGGGCGGGGGGTGTCACGGGTTTGTCAGCGGTCGCAGGTATTGAATTTTGTTGATTTATATGTTTCTTTTGCTTTTTTTTTTACTCAGCATATGTTCTACAGTACATTTTCATATCGTATGCCATGAAAAAAGCAGTTCACGTGTTTCACCCCTTTTGTAAATCGAACTATTGAGATTCACATGAATAATACTGAATCAGCTCATATCTACGAGTAAAATTCAGTGGCTTATTATAATACATTCTCGTATATTGAGGCCCTTCCAGATTGAAGTTTCCGTGAATAAAACGGAATAACACAACCGACTCCCGTAAAAGGCATCAACGTTCCTAAATACTAATGGTAATATCATGGTAATATGGAACTGGAGTGAGCAATGTAGTGCCAAGTTAAAAGTCCCATGCAGAACGCAACGCACTGATCTATGGAAAAGAAAGAGAGAGAGAGAGAGAGAGAGAGAGAGAGAGAGAGAGAGAGAGAGAGAGAGACGAGAGAGAGAGAGAGAGAGAGAGAGAGAGAGAGAGAGAGAGAGAGAGAGAGAGAGAGAGAGGAGAGAGAGAGAAGAGAGAGAGAGAGAGAGAGAGAGAGAGAAGAGAGAGAGAGAGAGAGAGAGAGAGAGAGAGAGAGAGGAGAGAGAGAGAGAGAGAGAGAGAGAGAGAGAGAGAGAGAGAGAGAGAGAGAGAGAGAAAGAGAGAGAGAGAGAAAGAGAAGAGAAAGAGAAAGAGAGAGAGAGAGAGGAAGAAAGACAAGAAAGAAAGAAAGAAAGAGAGAGAGGGAGAGAGAAACAGAGAGAAGAGAGAGAGAGAGAGAGAGAATGTTCGGTGTGAGAAAGAGCTTAAAGAACAAAAAAAAAAGAACGATATGGCCACTCCATGCTCCGAGAAGCTGTCTACACGGGAATAAACTGGCTGGAGGCTTAGACAAAGGTACTTCAGGAAAGTCCATTTTGTCCCCCCCTGCCTCGACGGTGCTGAACCACTCCCCGCTCTCCACAATAGCGCCTGTCATTATGATACCTGACATACCCGCCACTCACAGGCATCGGCACAGATCGAATACCGGGTGTCTAAGTAATTCAGACCTCGTGAACACCCATTTATTCATAGATTATTACATGACGTGTTGGCAAGATGTAACACGAATGGAATATGAACCTTCGGGGTTAGTTTTGCTGGAATACCAAACAGGGAAGAAGAATAGAGATAACTGAGCAACATAAAGAGAAAACACGGGATAGAGTTTACCAACATGGTGTCTGTGGAGTCAATTAGCAACTATAAGAAAGACCTGAATAGAAGACATTCATTTATCACATTCGTATATATATATATTTTTTTTTTCTCTCTCTCTCTACCTAACGAATAGAAGACATTAATTTATCACATTCATATATATTTCTCTCTCTCTCTCTCTACCAAACGAATAGAAGACATTAATTTATCACATTCATCTCTCTCTCTCTCTCTATTTAATTTATCACATCATTATATTTTTCTCTCTCTCATCAAACTAATAAAGAAACATACCGACCCACTTACACCACATGCACTACACACACACACACACACACACACACACACACACACAAAAAAAAAAAAAAAAGTCCATACCCAACCCACACACACCACTCACCGCGCAGACACAATACACCTTCTCACAATCATCCTCACTATCACCCTGACGACTCACCACATCAGGCACACGAGGATGAACCGACGCCGCAGCACAGGAGTCTTCAGGAGGCTCAGTGTGGTGACCCTCGGCTGGTCGGCCTCGCGTGCCATGGACTCCGCGTAGTCCTTGAGGGATGGGGATGGTTAGGACTTTGATGATGTTCTTTGTTCTCTCAAAATGTTATTATAATGTTATCATTTCTATTATTGTTATTATCATTATTATTTATCATTATTATTATAATTATTGTTATTATTGTTTATCAGCATTATTTAATTATCATTATCATTAATATTGTCACTATTATCATTTTTATTATTATCATCATTATTATTATCATACTTATTATCATTTATGTCATAATTATTTATCATTATTATTATCATATTGTGTTATCATTATCATTTATTATTATCATTATTATCATATTATATCATTACTACATTACTTTTATCATTATTATCATTATGATATATCACTATTATTATCATTATCATTGTTATCATTACATTATATCACTATCATTTTTTTCATTATTATCATTATCATCCTCATTTTTATTATTTTTATCATTACTACTACTACTATTATAATTTTTATCATTGTTATTATTGCTATCATCATTCATATTATTATTCATTATCATCAGCAGCATCATCATCATTATCATTATCATTATTATCATTATTAACATCATTAGTATCATCAAGAATTGTATTATTATTGTAATCTCTTTTGTTATCATGATTATCATAATCACTATCACCATAACCATTTTCATGAATAATGTATTTTATCGTCATAAATATCTACTAATGTTCTATTATGCTCCTCATTACGACAAAACCCATTTTATAGCTTTTTTTCATCATTATTATTTTTGTATATTCTACTTTTATTTTCATTTTCTTTTATTCTACTTATTTTTTTCATTCCTATATTCTATTTTATTTTCTCATTTTCTATTTCTACTTTTATTTTTCTTTTTTTTTTTCCTATATTCTACTTTTATTTTAACTATTCTTTTTTTTAATCTTTTGGTGATCACCCCCCTTTATCTCTCATCTCAGACCTTGAACTCCTGCAGGGCTTCCGGCGAGAGGGCCTTCCGGTTGACCCTGGCTGCCCTCGTGATGATGGCCACGGCCTGGTCCACGCGCCCCTTCCCCAGCAGCCAGCGGGCGGACTCAGGGATCACGCTGAAGGAGGGAGGGGCCGGTTATTCTGGTGATGAGAGAGAGGGAGAGGAGAGGGAGAGGGAGAGGAGAGGAGAGGAGAGGGAGAGGGAGAGGGAGAGGGAGAGGGAGAGGGAGAGAGAGGAGAGAGAGAGAGAGAGGAGAGAGAGGGAGAGAGAGAGAGAGAGAGAGAGAGAGAGAGAGAGAGAGAGAGAGAGAGAGAGAGAGAGAGAGAGAAGAGAGAGAAGAGAGAGAGAGAGAGAGATCTTTTTCGGACAAAGACAGAGCAGAGACTGAGGGACAGACAGAGACAGATATAGACAGACACAAAGACAGGTAGACAGACACAAAGACAGGCAGACAGACAGAAAGGAGAGAACAGAAAGGCAGACAGACAAAGACAGACAGACAGACAGAGACAGGCAGATAGACAGACAGACAGGCAGACAGACAGACAGAGACGACAGACAGACAGAGACACACAGACAGGCAGAGGCAGAGACACAGACAGAGACAGACAGACAGACAGAGGCAGGGAGCCCTACCAGATGCACAAGATGGTGACGAACTGGAGGCCGTGGATGAGGAGCGCGAAGGAGGCCCAGTGGGCGAGGCCCCAGGCCATCCAGGGCATGGTGCAGAGGCCCAGGGTGAGGAACGTCATCACAGGGGCGTTGGCCATCACCGTCCTGTAGCCGCTGCCCACGTACTCCAGCACTGACGAGACAGATAGAGAAAAGGACGTTTCCAAGGAAGACAGCCAGGAGACGCAAGAATTCGTGTAGGTAGGCCTATATGGCGTTTGAAAGTGCGATCGTGGTAAATTCTTGATTTGGGATTTTAGGATTATCAGCATTGTTCATCAGGGAGATGAAAGCATGTGATGAGAGAAGGATATTGCTTAATGAAAGAAGGATATTACTCAAATATATAAAGGGGCATTTCCAGTTGGTACTAGTTATGAAGACCGTTAAAAAATGCCTGAGCATTCGGACGCAGTTGTGACTTCGCCTTAATCTTACGACTTCAGAAGGAGAAAACGGACAATTTGTGCAAAAAAGAAATAAGATTAATTAGATGTGGGATAAATGCTCTGACCAAAGCAAGCGCAAGCTCGAGTCTAAGGAACGGCCTTTAGATTAGTATGACGTATGAGAACGGCATGAAAGTGTAGCTTGGTGTGAAGGAGGACGTAAAAACTTCAATTTGGAGTGAGAAGGGCATGAGACATGTCGTGCAGAGGGCGTGGTAAGCCGCGGGGACCACGTCATGAGGATAAAAGCCGCATAAAAAGTCTCCTTTTGAGGCGCGAGAGATCGTGTCGGCTAAGCACTCACGCAGGATGTAGGCGATGATGTAATGCTGCTCGTACGTTAATCCGACGATGAATCTCAGGGCGGCGAACATGACGAAGGAGGAGCTGAAGGCGGAAGCGATGCCAGCCACGGCGCCCAGCAGATTGGAGAACACGATGATGGGGAGTCTGCCCCACGCGTCGGCCGCCCAGCCCAGGCTCGGCGACCCCAGCATGGACCCCACGAAGAAGAGCGACTGCGCCAGCGCCGGTCGCCAGTCCTCGTCGCACACCCAGTCCAGCTGCGGAGGAGGAGACGCTCTGGGGCTCCGGGGCAGGGGGGGGGGGGGGCAGGGCATGCTGCACTCGAAATTATTATTCTCCAAGAGTGGTTGAAACGGAGACCTCTATGAATCTCTGGTCAGTAATAGGGATCGAGACGCTTCTAGGGCTAAATCTAGGGCTTTTAAAGCTAGATTCTGCTTACGTTTATTACTATTTTTCGTTCACTTTTGAAGCCAAGTTCCGATCCGTTTCAAATCTAAATTCTGCTCACATTTAGAGCTAAAATTTGCTAATTCTTAAAACCAAATTCCCCTTACTTTTAAAGCTACATTCAGCTTACGTCCACACACCAACAGACAAAATGTAGGCAAAGATCTATCAACAAGAGGCACGCGCATAAAGTATAC